ACCCCCCCCCCCCCCCCTCCCGGGGTAAGTAACCATTACTCAACTTAACATTAGGGGCATGTCAGATATAAACCACCCATTAGGAATGCAATGTGATAGCAAAAAATTATAAAGGGATGTTTTAAAATTAGAATGAGTACAAGCTGGGGTGTTATTATATAAAAGGATCTCTTAAAATTACAATTATTATAAGGGGTGCTATTATGATTTTATCATTCTTTTGGTAGTGGGTTTGAAAAATACTATTCCATGTCTTTTGGGTTTTTAAAGCTAGCTGGCTAAACATCGTCATCGCACTAATGAGCATTTGTTACTTAACATAGAAGAGAAAACTGAAAGGCGAAGCCCTACACGCGCCTTCCCGTCTATATTACCCCCACCCCCACCTCCACCCCACACCACCACCACTGCGACGCAGCCTCTTCAATCCTCATCATCTGCATCCCAGTCTCACAGGTCCTCTCTCTCTCTCTCTATATATATAGACATATATATAATATACACACACACACACACACAACCGCACATGTATATGTTTCGATACATATCGATGTGTTATGGTTCTCTCTATCTCCCTCTTCTTGAACTAGTGCTTTGTAGTTTATGTAAAGAGTTGTGGATATATGTTATTGAATTTAGAATACGGATCGAGTTCAATTTATACGGTTGTTAAATCGGAGTTTGTTTTCTTCGGGTTGGGAAAGGTACCGTGGCAGATCTTATTTGTATCGATTTTGTTGGTAACAAACAGCCGAATAAAATTATTTGTTTTGTCCTCTAATACCTAAAATTGGGCAGCTATTTGAGTTTGTTATGTTTTTGATACGATTATTCTTGTTATTCAGTTGTGTGGGCCACTTGGATTTGCAATACGAATTGAATTCAATTTACTGGACCGTTGAAACCAAGTTTGTTTCTTCGGATTTGGAAAGGTACTGTGGCCTATCTTGTTTGTGTTGATCTTGTGGGAATGAACAGCGAGGAATTGAGTATTTTCATCTTTTAAATAGTTTTTTTTTGTTGTATAATGCATAAAATTGGGGTGTTATTTAATTTTGATATGTTGATTGATTCAATTATTCTTGTTCAGTTCTGTAGGTCACTTGGATTTGAGTCATTTGACAGTAACATGATGGTTTCCTTTGAAATGAATGACCGTAAAAGTGAGTGTTCAGACATTGTTTATTTTTTCTACTATTAGTGTTGTTATTGTCTCACAGGTACATTACTAAGCATTGGATTCGTTCCGCTGTCATGGTATATTTGAAGACATCGGTTAACTATGTACAGACAATGTCATTTTTAGGTAGTAGATGGAACTTTATTCACAGATATAGGTTTAGGCTTTTGTTTCTTTGTCACATGCTAACAAAGCACAGATGATTCTAAGTGGAAATTGAGCCATTTATGAAATAAAATAGTAGGTGATTTGAACAAAACTCGTACAATGAGTTAATGCTGCGTAAATGTGTATGTTTAGTCTTGCATCACTCACCTGCCTCTCTTGTATGGCAGTAAATAAACTGCTCGATTATTGGTTTCTATCCTATTAAGGGAGTATGACCTAATGGGATTATGGTGTCGCAGTTGGTTATTATATGGAAGCAGTTTTTGTGTAATTTTTACTTTTTAAACAGCTTGCCACATGGCACTAGAGGAGTATTTTTCGTTCCACAGTACATAAGTTGTGGGAAAAAATGTATCGAGGAATCATATATAACACCTGTAAGTCAAGGAAAACTGATATTTCCCTGCCAAAGAAAAAGAATTCCTCTCTTATCTGCTGAATTTGCCACCGCTCTGTTTTTTTCTCTGTATTAACGAGTCAGTGACATTTTATTTAATTCATCTTTCCCATTACACTTGGAATATCTAAAACTTCTTAAATATTTCTTCCACTAAAGAACTTTCTGTGCTGTATTGGAACAGAGATTGGGCTAGGACTGACAGGGTTTGGCATATTTTTTTCATTTTTGGGAGTCATTTTCTTCTTTGACAAGGGGCTTCTTGCCATGGGAAATGTAAGTATCAATATTTCAGCAGCACCTTTCATTGACAGGGTTATTCATTTATTCTTTATTTTTACTTATTGACTCTAGCCTATTAACGTCATCTTATCTTACTGAACCAGATCCTCTTCTTCTCAGGGGTGACATTAACCATTGGACTGAAGTCATCCATGCAGTTCTTCACAAAACGTAGCAATTTTAAGGTTCACTATCTTTTTGTGTATGTGTGTGCCTCTTTGTGCACTCATTTTTATTTCTTTTTACTAATTAGGATCATTGGTGACATAGTTGTTAGTATCGTGCGATACGTATCGTACGATACGTTACGATACAGAGGTAAAATGATACAAATCGGAGTTATATATCGTTTTTGCATAGTATCGTCCGATACATGATACGTTTTTACTATACGATATGTATCGACTGATACGCGAAGTCTCTGTTTTATTTATTTTTTATTAGGACGCACGGTAAATCAGAAAAAACAAAGATAAAGAGAAGAATTACCAGTTCATCAAACTCACAAATCCGCAAAAATACCCAAACAAAAGCAAGGCAAATAAATTTTTAAAATTGAAAAAAATAGCAACACTGACTTGTAAATTTCTGATGAAATCCTATGTTGGTTTTTCTTCAGATGTTAGAAAATACTTCTTCTTCTTCCTTACAGAGATCCATAGAAAATTGGAAACCCATCGAAGAAGTAGATCATCCAACACCCCTTGTCTCTGTCTCACGATCGCTCTTGCGATCTTTCTTCCTCCGTCTCTCGATCACTCTCATGATCTCTCTCCTTGCCTCTCGATCGCTCTCGCGATCTTTCCCTCTCTCTCGTCTTTTTTTTTTATACTTAGACCCCTTAAGGTTTATTACTTAATCACTTAGAACCCCTAATATTTAAAATATTACATAGAGACTCCTTAAAATTTATACAAGCGTGATACTTAGACCCCTGCTGTAAATATATCTGTTAATAAATTACATTTAGACACCCTAAAGTTTGTAAACATATATTTAATTATTAATTATTTAAAATTACACCGTATCTNATTATATGGAAGCAGTTTTTGTGTAATTTTTACTTTTTAAACAGCTTGCCACATGGCACTAGAGGAGTATTTTTCGTTCCACAGTACATAAGTTGTGGGAAAAAATGTATCGAGGAATCATATATAACACCTGTAAGTCAAGGAAAACTGATATTTCCCTGCCAAAGAAAAAGAATTCCTCTCTTATCTGCTGAATTTGCCACCGCTCTGTTTTTTTCTCTGTATTAACGAGTCAGTGACATTTTATTTAATTCATCTTTCCCATTACACTTGGAATATCTAAAACTTCTTAAATATTTCTTCCACTAAAGAACTTTCTGTGCTGTATTGGAACAGAGATTGGGCTAGGACTGACAGGGTTTGGCATATTTTTTTCATTTTTGGGAGTCATTTTCTTCTTTGACAAGGGGCTTCTTGCCATGGGAAATGTAAGTATCAATATTTCAGCAGCACCTTTCATTGACAGGGTTATTCATTTATTCTTTATTTTTACTTATTGACTCTAGCCTATTAACGTCATCTTATCTTACTGAACCAGATCCTCTTCTTCTCAGGGGTGACATTAACCATTGGACTGAAGTCATCCATGCAGTTCTTCACAAAACGTAGCAATTTTAAGGTTCACTATCTTTTTGTGTATGTGTGTGCCTCTTTGTGCACTCATTTTTATTTCTTTTTACTAATTAGGATCATTGGTGACATAGTTGTTAGTATCGTGCGATACGTATCGTACGATACGTTACGATACAGAGGTAAAATGATACAAATCGGAGTTATATATCGTTTTTGCATAGTATCGTCCGATACATGATACGTTTTTACTATACGATATGTATCGACTGATACGCGAAGTCTCTGTTTTATTTATTTTTTATTAGGACGCACGGTAAATCAGAAAAAACAAAGATAAAGAGAAGAATTACCAGTTCATCAAACTCACAAATCCGCAAAAATACCCAAACAAAAGCAAGGCAAATAAATTTTTAAAATTGAAAAAAATAGCAACACTGACTTGTAAATTTCTGATGAAATCCTATGTTGGTTTTTCTTCAGATGTTAGAAAATACTTCTTCTTCTTCCTTACAGAGATCCATAGAAAATTGGAAACCCATCGAAGAAGTAGATCATCCAACACCCCTTGTCTCTGTCTCACGATCGCTCTTGCGATCTTTCTTCCTCCGTCTCTCGATCACTCTCATGATCTCTCTCCTTGCCTCTCGATCGCTCTCGCGATCTTTCCCTCTCTCTCGTCTTTTTTTTTTATACTTAGACCCCTTAAGGTTTATTACTTAATCACTTAGAACCCCTAATATTTAAAATATTACATAGAGACTCCTTAAAATTTATACAAGCGTGATACTTAGACCCCTGCTGTAAATATATCTGTTAATAAATTACATTTAGACACCCTAAAGTTTGTAAACATATATTTAATTATTAATTATTTAAAATTACACCGTATCTTACGATACACTATTTTTAAAAAACGATACACCTTCCGATACACGATTTGACAACTATGATTGATGATATTATACAGGGAACTACTTCTTTTGGTGCTGGCTTCTTCTTGGTTGTCATAGGGTGGCCTATATTGGGAATGATCTTGGAGACATATGGGTTTGTTGTACTTTTCAGGTTAGCTATTTTATGTTCCCATCATATCCTGTGCTCTGTTAATATTACTTGTGCTTCGTTGCTGATGAGGTTCTTTGTGCAGTGGCTTCTGGCCAACATTGGCAGTTTTTGTGCAGAAGATACCTGTTCTTGGTTGGTTTTTCCAACAGCCATATATTAGATCGGTATGTTCAATTTGGAACTTAATGGTTGTTGTTAAGAGAGGATTTTCTGAAGGGATTTGTGCTGGACCTGTTTTTAATTGACGTCATTTTTGTTGGTTAATGCTTGATCTAATTGATACATGGATTTCATTTTGGAGCCTCTTTCTATATTTAAAAATTTCAGTCATGAATATATAAAGATCAAAATACAATTAGGCAGCCTTATTCGATCCCTTTCTTTCTATTTTTTCACTGCATCCTCGAAAGTTCCTTCTGGTTTTATGTTCTATATTCATCGGAAGAAATAGGAAATGCCTTATGAGTTATGATAATTCATGTCAAAGCAAATCCTAGCCGACACAGACAAATTTTGGACCGACCCCTCTTCATCAAGTCTTCTTGTTAACTTAATGAAAATATAAGAATGACTATATTACCATTGGCTTCTTGTTGATAACTTCATGGAAACCATGATTTACCTGTTTGCTAGCATGGTCACGGAGTTGTTCACCCAGAATTCCATCTCATTGTATCTATGTATCGCAAGTTATTCTGCAATCTAGAGGAGGTTAGGTGTTTGACTCCTATAGAAACATGACTGCTTGCCCTGGTGTTTGGGTTGTGTCCTTTGGTAGGATAGGGTTTTGGTGGCTGAGGTATACGGTAGAAATAAGAAGAGAAAAGGTTGCAGTGTGGTGTGGTGAGCCTGTTGGAGTGAAGAAGATATGTCTATACTTTTATTAGAAATTTACAAAAAGCAATACCAGTGGGATGAAATAAAAGAAACTTCGGAAGAAAGAAGGATTGGATCAATTTTCTTAGTTGCAGGCTTTTCTTACACACAAGTGAAGGTTTTTATGGTGATGATCCTTTATCTATAGACAAGTCATCTTCCGTTTAATAAAGGCTTGGTTATTAAGTTGCGATACAGGTTATTGTTACCATCCTAGATCCCTTATCAACAGTTTTTTGGCTTGATCAAATTATTGGAATGCAGTTGCCTGCTTTTTAGAACAAAATAACTGCACAGGATCTCTAGGACTGTGATTCAGTGCAAGTATATTTAATGGGCTTTGGGGATCTAGCAAATCAAGTATTGTAAAATGCATAAATCGCAATGATTAATGAGTCTTGATGAAGGATACTAACCAAGAGGGGGAGAGAGACAATTTTTGGTGTTTTTCATGGGAAGCGATGTCCTGCCATCTGTGAGTGAGCTGTGGTAATGAACAACCGCAGGATAGAAGATGAGCTTGTGCAGGAATCACAGACACTTGATCCAGCAACTTGACCCGAAATTACTTATTGAAAAACTTCACAGGAAGAATGAATATACAAGAAAGTTGGCATAACAACTGATCACTAACTGCATTTCCTGTTAAATTCTAATAGTAAACAGCATAATTTCCCCTGTCCCAAAAGGCAAATTTATAAATGGGTCAATCTGAATTTTCTGTTTTACCTTCTGGATGATAAAGTTTTATTTGCATTATGATCGTATATATTTTGATCTATTCATTCAGTGCATGTTTTTATATTTGCAATTACAACACATCAAGAAAAGGTGGTGAAATGAATAGGGTGCTGTCATGCTTGGTTACACAATCTCTTGTATTTTTCTTTGCCTAAAACTCTACTTTTCTATTTGTTTTCTTTGCTTTTCTAATTCATATTTTAGAAATGTTGGGGTAATCTATTTTCAACAGCCTAGCAAAAAGAAAGAAGATTCATTTCATTAGTACGGACAAAAGTGACTTATTACATGATTCCTTTGGATATGATGTCTATGTCTCATGAGTTTGTCCTAAATTTGTTTGTTTCTCTGTGCAGTTCTTTGATCGTTATCGTGGAAAACGAGTCCCTGTGTAAATTTTGTCTAGGAAAGTGCAAGGTAGCTACGCTGGTTGCCCACTTTTAAGTTTTGTAAAATACTGTCTGATCAATTGCTTTTATTCTTGGGGAAACAGTATGAAGTTTCTCAGTTGATGATATGCAGATGATTTGGCTCTGAATAGTAAAGTTGTGTAGATCTTTTGGCTTCTTTCTCTGTCATTTGTGCATGCAATGATGTTCATGGGGATCGAACTTCGTTTACCTTTGTACTACATTTACAGATATTCTGAGTTCGATTCATTGCTTTACTGTTATTATGGATGCATGGTCATGACCCATTAAATCTTTTGCAAGCTATAATCATACTGGTTCGGCAAACGATTTTCCTGTCAAATCTGTGATCACCGTAGTATGTTGGGCCATCTTAACTTGAGCTATATTTTGGGTTTTTGTTTTTTATTTTTTTTTCTCCCCTTGTGTCTGTAGTTGTTAATTGGCATTGGCTGTGTGAATTCTTGGAATGTGGAGTATCATGATACAGGTAGATTGCATTAATTGGACTTCACCCAATTGGTGGTTGAAGCCTGAGGCTGTGATGATCCTTACAAAGACTGCAATTATTTGAGTGGTCGTTTCAATCCTGTGTTTTTTTTTTTTTCGTTTGAGCTGTTCCAGGATATTTTCGTTCATGTTTATTTACACTCTTCTAGTATTGGTGGATCATCCAGAAGACTTGGATGTTGATTCACAATCAAATTACCAAATGAGCATTATGTATATTGCTTTCAATTATTTGCAAATGTTCGCAATCATTTCACTTATATAATTGCTCGAGGAGAATGAAATTTTGAAAATTGTGTGTAACTAAAAAGGTGGGGGACTGAGAAATGGTGATTGGCAAGAAGAGGTTGGACATGATGGTTGGTTCCTCTTACAGGCCAACATTTTCTTTAGAGGGTGTTCGAACTTGCTTTTCTGGTTACAATAGATCCCATTGGTAGAGGACTGCAGGAGTATGCACTCATTAGTTCAGGAGGACATAGATGACAATTCGGAAGAAACTACTAAGTTGATGATGCACAGAGAAATACCACTCAGCTCAGAGAGATTATAGTTTTCTGTCGTCAATGGAGTAACTTCTCCCTCTTTCTCCGTGAACCCATCTTCACAAGTTGATGTAGCTTCCATAACTGCACTCATCAACACATTAGCAGCATCAAAGTACTCTTGCAAAAAGGCAGCAATAGAACTCACCAGCATCGAGGCTGCATCTGCATAGAGATCCACACAATCTCTCAAGCAGTCCATGGCAAAAGGATCAAACGTGCCGCTGGTCATCATCTTTTCTATGGTTGAAATTGTGCTGGTGGCATTTCCCAGAGCTAGCTCCATTGCAATGATTGCTAGACCTTGAAGATTAGTGACATGGCTGATAGAGACTGCTTGGAGAGACGTAACGCAGAAGTCGTAGTTGAAAATTGCAGACTTGCTGGCACATTGTTTGCAGGTTGTGTTAACTAGATCAACAGAGACTGCATTGACGGAGGAGCTGTTGTTTTCATGGGGAAGGAGAAAGAAGAGGAAGCAAAAAGAGATGGAAAAGAAAGAGGAATGCCACATGATTTTTCTGCTTGTGTACCCCTTGGATGTGTTGTGGTCACCTGGAATATCTTATTTATATCCATCTCTGATTATGAACGTGGAGGGTACTGAGTGAAGGAAGCTTCCTAGAAGGTAAGGATTCAAATCACCTTGGCACTGCCTGCAGGCTCCATTGAGGGCTTTATTACATAATTATGTGACATAATGTTCAAAATGTTTTCTGAATCCCTCTGGATATATTTTGTCTTATTTTTGATGTAAAAAGATTGATCTAATATACTCGTAAATGTAAAAAAAAGTGTACCTAGTGCATGAAACTCTCTCCATTACGGGGTCTAGAGAAGATTATATGTACGCAGTCTTACTCCTACAAACAAGAAAATTATTTTCATAACTTGAACCCGTGAGCTCTAGGTAACAAAGGAATAACTTTACCATTGCGCCAAAAACTGCCTTCTTAGCATACTGCTAAATGTAGGTGTAGTAAATTAGGATCCAAGAAGTCGGGATTCAAGAGGCTTGGGGCCATGATGGAGAAAATGAAATATGTGAGGAATGTTTGCGATGCTCTATACTTTGTGAGTTTTAAATTTTGGTCATGTGTATTAAAGTTGTGTTCGAGCAAAGTGGACAACATCTATATAATAAAGTAGCTTTCATTTCAAATTTTAAAAGATAAACAAAATAACTATTACTATTCGCGGGTTTGATTGCTTTAAATTTTATGTAAAAGTTAATCTAACGGTTAATATTGACACCCTAAATTTAATAGGAAAAATAGGTCTCTAAGGATGTGTTTGGAGTGACTTTTTACAAATATTTTTTAAAATTATTTCTCATAAATACTTTAAAAAAATAATGTTTGAAACCGCCCTACCTCTACTACCACCGCCGTCGTCGTCGCCGCCACCATCACCATCACCATCACCACCACTATTGCCGTCGTCGCCACTTCCGCTAATACTACCACCGCCACCACCTCCCCCCACCACTGTTGCAACTACCACACCACCACCGTCGTCGTCACCGCCACCGCTGTCGCCACGACCACGGTTATTGTCACCCATCACAACCATCATCATTTTCTACCACCACCATTGTCACCCACCATATCTCACCCCCACTACAAATTGATGCTTAAATTCATTTATTTTTTTTCTATATTTGTGATTTAATTTTGAATATAAATACAAATATATTTATTATTTACTATTTTTTATTACTCAGTACCCTCCGTCATAGACAATAACTAATTGTATGAGTGAAGTAAGGGTGGGGGATACTAAGGGAGGACAGTATATAAAGTTCGTGCACTACAATTCACATGGATCCTCCTTGGTATGTGACAATAAATTGTGGAGAAGGTTTGAAAGTCTTCTCTCTCCATTTTGTTTAATTTATCGTGCATTCAATTTGGTAAGTTAAAAATTAATTTCATCCCACTTGTAACCACTTTTTTTTTTTTTTACCTCTAACCACCTTTTCCGTTCTCCTCAACTTCTGCTTGAAATTATCTTTTAGATCTCTCATTTTCTCTTGTTGGGTAGGGAGATAAATCTCTCATTTTTTCATAGACGATTCTCTACTTGAAATTATTGTATTATTTGTTACCGAGTGTTCAGGCTTGTGTCGACTATTTCTTCCGGCCACCATAATTTGAGACTAGCGATTGGTATCAAGCGAAATACAAAAATCATCCATTTTTGGTTTACAAAAGCAAGGGTGCAACAGTAATTTTGCTACCAATACTCCAGACTCCCAATATTAACCCACCCTCGAGATAAATTAAGTCAAAAAATCAATGTATAATGGCTAAAACTAATGTCTGTGGTATAAGCAAGGGCCTAATTAATTCATCTTATTCAGACGTTGTACTTCATTGTTTCTTATGATCCAAACACACCATAACATGAATAAACAGATATATACATGCTGGGCATGTTTGGTTCTGAGTATAGGATATGATAATATTGAACATAATTTCATTTCAAGTAAAGGTAACAGTTGACCCACAATTTTATCCTATCTCTATTATATTATATTTAGATCAAGGTTAGTATAAGATGTAAATCATTATTCTAATACCAATATATGTTTTGGATGATGTATCAGTGTATGGTATTATGTTTAAAAATACAAAAGCACCTCACATTAATTTCATAATTTTGTAGCATAGAATGATAGTTTTGTTCTAATATCAATCATATTTCATTTAATACCACTTATTATATGGTAATAATTTATACCAAGTATGAGGTGCTAAATGACAATTTTAGCATTCCACCTGTACTAAAATATCTTTACTACCCATACTTATAACTTAATCCAATATTAAATAACTATTATCCTATCATTTAATTACCTAAACAAAACATACCAATGGGGGTTGGGGAAAAGGATGGGATACGGATGTAAATTCACGCATGGCACAGGTGGACTGTCAATATATACTATTATGCTAAAGAATTAAACCAGGCGAGAGTTACTTCAAGGTGTGGTCTAATGGTTGAGCTTGCTTAGTTCATAGGCCATAAGTCTGAGGTTCAATCTCTTCTTATATTCTTTAGGATTAATCACCATTATCTTTTTAGGGACATGTTTTAACCTTAAAAAAAAAGCCCTAGGTGCTGCCTAGGTGAGAGATAGGCTGCTAAGGATGGCAACAATGGCCGGGATGACAAAAAAAATGGGAGAAGGATAAAAGAAAGAGAGAAAAAGACTAGTAAGAGAGATTAAAAATACCGTTCATGACACAAATTCGATGTTAATAAAGCATAAATAAATCAAATAATCACACATTCACATAAAAACTTATAATACTTGGTACCTGATGTAACCACTAATCTCTTGATGAAGATAAATTAGTACTATTCAATAGTTGTGTTATATTATATTTGTGTCATATAAAAAATTATTTAATTTATTTATACCCATCAAGAATTTTGAACCGTTCATATATAATTCATATGATTATAATCGTATTTATCATATTCTTATCATACATTTATCGACTTATTTATTTGATGGACTTAAAAATTCTATTTGTTTGTCATCCAAGTTTATTAACATTAAACTCAAATCATCGTATTGGTTTTGTATTGAGTTTACGGGTCGGGTCGAATGTATGCTAAAGTTAAACCTAAACTCAAATCATTGTACCGGTTTTGTATTGCATTGAGGGTGGTGTCGGGTGGATATATATATTTTTAGGGGAGAAAACCCTCGGGGGGGTGTTTGGCAAATATGTGAGGGCTAGGATTGGTTTGGTTTCTTAGTCCAAACCAATCCAATGAAAACCTAAATCCGGGGATATAGACAGGATAATAATAAAGTAGTATAATTCAATCCTTGCTTTGAGAAGTAATTTGGTATATTGTGGGGTTCACTGAAAAACCATTATTTTTTGTGTAAATTTTCTTACTTTTGGGTTAAATTATAATTTTATCCTTCACTCCTATCCAATTGTTGAGTTGGAATAGCATTACTTATAGTGACAACAACTTTTTCCATATATTTTCATATTGAAAATTAGATTAATTTATCAAAAAATTACTTTTTCTTTTCATAATGTAAAATGTATTAAATAAACCAGAAATACAAGGGTCAGCACACCTATATTTGTACAATGAAGTCACCTGGGGCTCAAAGACAAACAACAAAAAACCCAAACAGTCAAGGTACCAAAACAAGCAATCCACAAATTACCGCAACTGATCCAACATGTACTGTTCACGTCAACAGTCGCGTGAACAGTACATGTTGCAATAACCAATATGCACAGTCTATATATTTTCCTGATTATTAAAAATTATAAACAGTAAAATTAGTTGAACATAATTTATTGATCTACTAATTCAAAATCAAATTTTTTTTTTGGTAATTAAGATAATTACATAAAAGCGAAAAGGCAACATGTACACAGATATAACAAAATTGGATGATTGATCTTCTTAAAACAAGAAAAATAAGATCCCTCATCCTCATACAAAAGAATACATAGTCAAAAACACAATCCAAAACGAACAAAAATAAAATATTGTCCATCAAGACATGATTAGCAAGATGAAGCACCAAACAGCAGTACCCACATGAAGCATCAACCAGCAACTCAGCCACCATAAATATAATGCACCCATAATGCCAAACTCCAAACAAAGCATAACACTAGAAGAAACAGAGAGTTCACAAACTCTAGCACCAATGACGGAGGCAAATACATAACAAGCATAATCCAAATATAAGGAACCAAATTCCAGCAATTAACTCAATTGACAATAGATCCCAATATATTTTAAGATCCATAAACAATGCAATAGTATTAATAGATTATGTCAATAAATTATATTAACAAACTAGATTAGAATTATACTATTAAATTTAAAACAAAAAAAAATAGATGACTTCTTCAAATAACATACGAAACAAAAAGTAATCATTTCATTTCTTTGCCATCAAGAGACCTCCTTGAAGATTTAACTATGCAATCTTTTCATCAATTTTTCAAATATCACAAAAAAAGTACAGGTAAAAAAATTTTAGTGGATTAAATGGTGATCTCTAACCCACGAGTGCAAATTCCAATAACATAATGCAACTCTATTGAGAATTTTTTGATGTAGATGGAGATCGCGTGTTGGGTTTCAAGCAGAAGGGTGCCACAGGGATATATATATATACACACATAGATATACAGAGAGAGACAGCGACAAGGTGAGATATATATATATATATATAAAGAGAGAGAGAGAGAAATACCTTCCAATGGGGACCAGTGGATGCCGCTTGTGGGAAGGAAGGACCAATGAGAAGTTTAGAGAAAGATAAAATGAGGGGGTAGAAACCTTACGTTCAATACTGTAAAAGAGTATTTTAGTAAATGGCATGCAAATCCGGTAACGTAATCCCAAAATTACAATGGGATATATGAAAATGGGTCAGATGGGATATAGAAGGGAAAAAGCTACGCCCGAGGAATTCGGCCCAATAAATAACCTATTGAAAAAAATCTTGCCAAACCA